TGCTTGCCTGCTTGCTTCCTTGGCTAGCTGCTTGCTTGCTTGCCTCAGCTGCTTGCTCCTGCGACCTGCGCGCATTCCGCCATCCTCCCTCCTCTGGGACCATCTTGCGCCAGGCCCAGTGCTGCTGTTTATGCCGGCTTGTTGTTGCTGCTGCTGCATGGTACGTACTGGCGCCGCCGTCCAAGTACCTACACACACCCAACGGACAACAACGGGACGGTGGACAGGACAAGACGGGACAGGCGCGGTACCTCGCTCTACTTTCCGGTGGACGGGCATGCTAAATTAAAAAAACATCCCCCTTCCCCTCCCCTTCTCCCCCCTTCAAAATCCTTTCCCCCCCGGTGCTCCCCTCCACCGACACACCCCCTCCCCTCCCAAATTCCTCCCCCCTCCCACCCTTGACGTCTCCCTACAGCAAACCTAGACGCACCCGCCGACAGAGAGAGAAGGAGGAGGATACACTGGCCACCAAAGAACAGCAACGTCGCAGTGGTCAAAGTCACACCCAATCTTCCTCCTCCACCAAATAAAAAAACCACTCTCTCGATTCGAGGGCCCCGTCCACTCAGACTGGAGCTCCCATCTGCGAGCTGGGTCTCGTTGTCCTCCTCCCGGTCCCAGAAGGGTCAAGACCAGGGCAGAGAGGACCCAAGTCCAAGACCAAGAACCCGACAGACCCAAACCGCCCAAACCACCCCAAGGCACCACGGGGACCACGGGGGACCCAACCGCCCCAGAAAACAGAAACAGATTCTGCAAACATGTCTCAATACATGTACACCAGTCTCGCCCCTTTACCTCCCGTCTTCTCTCACCTCCCCGACTCGAGAAGGGCGAAGGCGACGCCCTCCAGTTCCAACTCTTCTGCAGTAGCAACCTCCAACCAGCCCAAAAACACCTCGTCTGCCGCAACAACAGCAGCAGCACAACCACCAACACCAACAGCTGCCTCCACGCCGCCAATCTCAAAGGCAAATCCCGCAGACTCGTCCCGCCTACCGCCCACGAGCAGGACAAAACACCACTACCACCAGCACCACCCCTCCACTCGCTTGCAGCATATCCGCACTTCTTCTTCTTCTTCTGCGTCACGATCTTCTAACGAGACCTCGATCACCCCCACGTCAACCACCCTCTCGATCCCGCAGACAGCGTCTCCCACCGACTCGCGCGCGCCGTCCTCGCCATCGTCGCCGAAGAAGCTCAAGCACAAGCACCACCACTCGCTCCAGGAGACACGTGCTGCCGGCGACCACGGCTTCGGCTCCCTCCGCTCTAGAGCGCCGGCGCGCCTCCGCAAGGAAAGCGGCAGCTTGAGCTCCTACGCCAAGTTCGCGCTCGCCTCCCCTCCGACACCCCGCACCACGGGCCTCACTCCCACGGAGATAAAACATGTCGCCATGCTCGACATGGACATCTCGGGTCGTCATTTGACTGCCGCCAAGGCGACAGGCACTTTGCCCTTCTCCCGCACAGATAGCTTGTCCTCGGCCGCGCCTTCAACAGCGTCCATCTCGGCCCGCACAATGACCTCGACCGACCCCACTTCGTCGTTCGACGCCTCGCGTCCCTTCGTCTTGAAGAATGGGCGCCAGTACTTGTCCGACAACTCCCTACCCTACCCGCTGCCCGTCGATCTGGTCGAGCTGCATCGCCAGTCAATGCGCACGCTCATGCTGATTCAAGTCTTTGGCTCGCCATTGTGCTCACAGGGAAACGAAGTCAAACCACCAAGTCGCGTGCTCGAGATGGCATGCGGCTCCGGCTTCTGGAGTCAAATGTGCTTCCGCTACTTCAAGGGAAAGGGCCACACGGACACCGAGTACACCGGCATGGATATTGGTCCCATGGGCGCAACCGCCGGCGACGTGGATCGCGACATGAAGTGGCGCTATGTACAGCATGACATGCGCACGATGCCCTGGCCCTTTGCCGACGGCGAATTCGACCTGATCATGGTCAAGGACACCAGCTTGGTAGTGACAAGCCCGCACTCCGTCCAGTCCACCATGGACGAGTACATCCGCATCCTGCGCCCTGGCGGCACCATTGAATTCTGGGACAGTGACCACCAGATTCGCATGCTCCGGCCCCACGCCGCGCCACTGGCCCTAGACACCCCAGAAGGCGCCGCCGCCGTGGCGCTCGGCGCATACCCCCTGTCCTCCAAGACACCGCTCAGCGCGCCGCTGAACAACTACCTCGTCGAATACAACTCGTGGGCCCACCGCGCGCTCGAGTCGCGCAACCTCAGCCCCGTGCCGTGCACAATCATCGGTCCCGCGCTCATCCAGGAGTGCGAGGTGCTCAAGGACATACAATCGCGCCGCCTGGCGATCCCACTATCGGAAGTCCGCTGGGAGCGCGAGGGCGTCGGCGGTGTCGTCACCAAGGATGGCAAGTCGTACATCGAGACGGGCAAGGGCAAGTCCAAGCCGGACTCGCAGAAGAAGACGCTCACGCCCGCGCAGGCGGCCCTCCGCCGCACGGCGCTGACGACCGTCGTCCAGCAGATCCAGAGCTTGGAGCCGCTCCTTAGAGAGACCTCGGGCAAGAGCCAGGACGAGTGGGATGGCTGGCTTGGCAAGATGATGAACGACTTGACCAGGGAGAACGGCACGAGTTGGGGAGAGTGCCTGGAGGTAGGCGCATGGTGGGCGAGGAGGAAGTAGTGAAGCACGGCTTGATGAAACGAAAGGTTTTTATTGCATTACTATTGGAGCTATCTCACAGGACCATCTCATCCTCCCCGCTTGAGGCGACCATCACGCCCCGGGAACATACCGCTTCCTCAGCGTTCGGTATCGTTTGAGGTAGTACCTGTGGGATCGTTAGCGTGCCAATCAGTTGCAAAGCAACAGCAAGACACAGAAACAGAAGCAAGGAAAAGCGCAGAGGCAGAGGAACGGTTGAAGTGTGCAGTTCAACATCGAGATACCCCCCATCATCAATCTACATCACATATCAACCAATATTTACATACACCTATATCTCATCTTGACTTATTGACATGTGAAGCGACGTATTGACCTGAAGTTGATCTTTCGATAGTGCGGCAGGTGGGGGAAGGGAAAGGGGACATGGGACTTCGACCGGTAGATGCTCGCTCACGTGGCAGGAATAATATGGAGCTTGTGCTTGCGGCGGGGACGATTCCGCGTGTTCAAGTGAGATCGACATGAGGAAGGCGTGGCGACAGGGGTGGGTAGGGCGGTCTCGGTCCCCTCCCCAGCGTGAATCCACAAAGGGTGCGGAAACAAAAAGGGTGAGTTCAAACTTACAAGGCTTCGATTTCTAGAAGGGGGGAGTGGTTAGCATTGGCCTTTGAGTGATCTTGCTCGACGATGTTCAGGTAGGGGAGGTGGGAACGGGGCAAGGGAGTGAGATATGGATGGATTGACGTTCAGGAGTTGCGGGAGATGTGGGCCGCTGGGCTCTGTGTTTCTTTGTGAAGGGTGATGGCCCTGTGCGAGGCGAGATGAGGTTGGTGTTTTGCTCGAGGGGTTATATGATGTGGAACTGGCTTTTGGGAAGCGACTTCTTCTCCTGGGACGGGGGTCATGAGGGACGGGTATGGAGGGCTGAAAGTATGTTGGGCGTGTTGATGAAGGGGAACATGTTGTGTCGCTTGACACTGTGATGTACATGACGTTGTGATATCTCCTGCGGCTGTGAGGGGCTCGAAAAGCCCCCACGGCCCGCTGGTGTGTCGAGAAAGTCGAGATGTAGGTCCGGCTGCCGCTGGATATCTTGACTCGAGAACGGGATGGTATGCGACAGTGACATCGGATGTGTCCATGTTGTCGAATGGTGGAGAGTTTTTTTTTTTTTTGCCGGGACTTGTTTCTTGAGACAGGAGCGGTTGTTGCAGGTCATCCTTTGGTTCGGGTTTTGCTCTATTTCTCTCTGGAGTCGTGAGGCTCTACGTGGGTTGGTCGTTGATAAGCACCAGTCTGAGCGTGCTGGTACGCCACGGCCATGAGGTGCCGCATGGAAATGCGGTTCTTAGTCCGGATTTTCAGCGGACAGTGGGGTTTGAGGATGTCTTTCGTGTTGGTTGAGCCCCGTGACACTGCTTCCTCGGGAGCAAGACCGTGTGCTGGGGGCTTGGCCAAGTTTCTCGGAGGAGTGCCGTGGTTCCAGCTGAAGCCAGCGGAGGAGGGACAATCTCTTGAGGGGCGGCTCTTAAAGGTGCTGGTGAAGCCGAAACGAGAGGGTTCTCATTCAACATCGACGCTGGGCCGGTTGGGCCTGGCCCTCGGGCTTCTCGTCACCCAAGACACATAGCTTCTGGGCTGAGATACGAGCACACCTTGTCGTGGATGAGCCATCTACCAGGAGATCCGGACAGCCGAGGAAGGAGTGTTCTGAACTCGACTCGGAGGAAAGAGAAATTGGCATCAGCGCCAGATGGAAGTCCGCAGGGGAGTGTTGTGCATACAGCGTATCCTCTAAATGGAGACACACCTCGTGGACCTAGACTCAGAAGTATCCTCGAGGTATCGACGTCCAAGGAACAAGAAAACAATGCCTGTCCGATAGCGGTAAAGATGATGACGCTGATGACCCCCCCAGCCAAGAACACAATCCCATCTTGCCGAGAGCGTAGAAAGAATGAATCAGAGTCCAACTTGGGTCGGCACTTGTTGAACAATAGTAGTCATCAAGGTCGAAGTTTGAAGATGAGGATCGTGCAGGGAAACCGTCGACCAGGCCAGTATGCGAGGTAGCTTCCACCTGGTGCTCCAGGAAAATAGAAATGAGGAAGGGGGATTGCAGTGACTCCAGGTAAACCACCAACCAAACCGCGTCTAACAGCGAACACGGCAGACCTGCCCACTGGACGACGTCACTTGACAACTTGACAACAGTCCACAGAGGCCTTGATAATAGTGAAAGTAATGACCTAGACGGCCCGGTAGAAGAAAAGACGCGAGGCGACAGACGGGAAAAAGGGAGGACAGTACTGGATGTGAAGACACAAGACGAATGGAGCATCACCTACCCTTCTTCACAAACTCGGCCCTCTGGATGCCCTTCTCGATCGCCTCTTCGTCTTTCAGCCCCGCGTTGGCGCTGAAGGCCCGGTGTAGGCGTGGGCGGAAGTAGTCATATCCGAGGGGGTACTCGCGTCCGAGGAAAAGGAGTTCTATGGGCTCATTAGCGACGTTTGGAGGTAATAATGATGTGATCGTAAGTGGCAACTGGTTGAGGACGATGGGCCTTAGAACCGAGCAGCAGGATTCAAGCTTGATTTGATGTGATTTGACGGTTTCCGGTGACTGAGAACGTCAAGCTCACATGCCCCGTTCATTCATCTGACGACTCTTGCGTGTATCCACGGGAAGTATTGTAGGCAACGTTGCGTGCCGCTCATGAGCAGGTATAAGTCATTGACACCCAAGACGGCCCTTGAACAAGACCAATATGCAAGCAAGGATGAAAGCCCACCAACCTTTGTAAATGGTAATCACCCGCCTCCTCAACTCAAGATTTAGGGAGCTCATCTCGAATTGCCGAATGCTACCGCGTAAGCAATCCAGAATTCAGTCTGCGACGGGATAGCTGATGGTGTAGGTCAACGCCGCCGGGATGTCGTCGGTTCCGTGGCGATGAGGTCGGATCCTTGACGAATGATGCAACACCCCTCCGTCCAATTGCGGCCCCACAGCACCGCCAATCCGCTTCTCCAATTGGCCGCACCAAAGCTCAGCTCCTTATCTTATCAGTCGCCAGCCAGGTCCCTCGCTGCTCTGGCCCGATCTACGGCTTCAAGCTTCGCGACAGAAACCAACCATCGATCCGCTGGCGCATACCAAATCGACGCACGAAGCCGATAATCGACGAAATGTTCTGCGCGAGGGCAGCTCGCACAACGCTGCTACGACGCCCGGCACTCCTCCTCGCTCGCCAGACCCCTTCCGCTGCCGCCCTCCGCATCGCAGTATCGAGTCCCCGACCGTACAGCCAAGCCAGCAGCATCACAAACCCCCAGCCGGCAGAGTTGCGGAACGCCACTGAAGACCTCCTCTTGGCTCTCGATCAGGCGGAAGCGGCCGACCTGGCAGCTGTCCAAGACGTTGACGAAGTCGAATACGAGCTTCCATCAAGACCAGATGACGGGCTGACCGCGAAAGAAACAATCGACAAGCTCCTGCTCAAACCGAAACCCGCGCCGCAATACCTCAACGCCAGCTTCTTTCTCAAGCGCATCGGGAAATGCCTCATGTTTGGCTGCAACGAGGAGCAGGTCGCTGTGGCGGCCCGTCTTGTACGCCAGATCGCAAAGGACTTTCCTCGACTGCAAATGGCTCGGTCCAACGCCGTCGTGGACCCCAAGGCCGTGTATACAGAAAGGCTGGACATGACGAAGAGAATCCAGCTCGAGCCTTTGTCCAAGACGTTCGGAGTGAGAAGCAATGAAGCCCCCCAAAACTTGACGCGCTCATCACTGACCCTGTTAATCAATCTTGCAGGGAATCCCGCGACCATTTCCACTCCCGAAATTGGTTGAGGTGGCCGTCTTGCGATATCTCGACTACGTCGCTTCGACTTCCACCTCTGACGTACAGGCAAAATGGGATCAGATTCAACGAATGCAACGGAAGGCCTGGAAGGTTGATTCCCACTCGCTGATCCATAAGCCGGTGTCGCCGCTGGCCATCCAAAACATGCAATGGCCGTCGAACTTGCGCTACGTGAGTTTAGTTTACTAAAAGGGCGTTGTCCCGAAGAGGGCTAAATGATTGCACAGGATCGGACACGTAAAACGCAGAACATCTCTCTGTATACCCGTTTGGAGAGCTTCACTGAGATGGATCGCCGTGTCAAGTTCATTCTCGACGTGGCCTTATGGTCACATTCGGCCAACGCTTTTCTCGTGAACGCAAAAGTCACACTGGTGTTTCTCTACCCCCGGAAACAGTTGCAGGGCAAGTCAACCCGCTGGTTCGCGGAAGAGATGGAACGCATGCTGAATCATGAGACGCCCGAGGTCTGGCAGGAGGGCAGAGACTTGATAGACGCGATCCGCATACTGGAGTCGCAGACTTGGAATAGGGCGGATGCGGTCGAGGACTTGGGCAGTGCTTCGTCGGCTTGAGATACACTGAAACCCGAGCGGCCCATTCGACAGCAACAAGCAACTTCCCACGAGGATATAAATCCAAGGGGTAGTATCCCTCGATGCTAACCAGATCCAGTATCTACCAGAGCCAGGGCACCTCTGCCAGAAGTACGGCGTCGAGATATCTGGACGATGTCTATTGGTGTCTTGGCCAGCCAATGCCAAGTGCAAAGTTGTGGATTGTTGCTTGCAGTGGCCTGGTGGACCTCATTGACAGTACGATCCCCCGCCGAAGAGAGGAGGCAAGAATTGAGGTTCCTACAAGACCTGGCGGATCTCAAACGCGAATGCCATATCATTTGCGCTAGCCGCAGAGTGTCCAAAGCATCAGGAGCCGTTCGCATGGTCTCTGGTCATACTGCGAGCCATAGTCGGCTCACGGCCAAGCAGGCGACAGCCGCTTAAACCTTCCGTGAACTGCAATGATAAGAACTGTCCTGCGTGATACAAATGCGACAATGTTGAAAGCACGCCATGGTCAAACATGAATACTTGTGATATCTGATCTCAACGCAACATTGGCTGGAAGCGCAGACATGACATGGATGCTGTTGTATGATTGGCGGGTGGTGATTGGTACGGATGAAAAGGGTATCCCCCAAGTGAATAGGCCTTGTGGATTGCGCAAGGAAATCTTCCTACCCTGCCGGCGTGACTCCGGGCCCCATCACGGGACGGATCCAGTTCGGCGGGACGAGAAATTCGGCGAGGCTAGCAGAGAAAAATTCTCCTGAAAATTCTGCCAATAATTCACTGCCAAAGAAAAGTCTTCTCGGTCATGGTCCACGACGAGACGGTCTCGTGTCCACTGTCTGGCGCTGCAAAATTCAGACTGGCTTTAAAGGGTCGCAAGCCCACCGAGAGATCCGCATCGCTCGGAGCTGCCCTGGCGCTATTACGTTGTGTCGCCTCACGTCGCCGTGCAAATGTGTGCGCCGCCATCGAGGGGCAGCTCCTCGCGGCCAGACCGCCTTCGAGATTGGGTGTCACAGTGCGAAGGGTGACTTCGAGGGGTTCATCAACCCCGCTAAGCAGCCGCAGAAATATAACGGTCTGCAGGGCACCAATCACGGCCCGACATGCCCGTAGGTTGCCAAGCTTTATTTGCTCTCGACGAGATGGAGGGGAGGTGACCAGGAGGAAGCGGAGGGAGGGGTGAAGCCCTCTGAGTTGCATGGGAGGCGTGCTGCACTGCAGGAAGCTGGCGCCCTGAAGTTTATTCCCGAGTAGTCTCGATGTTAGATCAGGCGATGGTCCTCTGGAATGCTGCTGCAGGCGGTCGATGATTGGACAGATCCTGAAGAATCACAGTCAACAGTCGATAGTCAACAGCGCAATACTTATTCGTAGGTGACATCGCATCTCGTTCGTCGTCCTCGCCAGCACAACTCTAACAAGCTTAGAGCCCCCCGCAGGACGGCCGTGCCACTGACTCTCTGGGAGGATTGTCGTCGGTACCACGAATCAGACATCGCGACTGCAAATTGCTCTCCACGACATTCCGAGTCAGCAGTCCACTGGATTGAATGGGCTGTGACATGGGAGGCAATCTGGCAGCAGGCTGGGAACGGCCAAATGCCGACAGGCAGATCGACTTGCTTTACCGCTCTGCGCCTAGCTCCTTTTCCTTTCTCGTTGTTTATGCTCAAGACCTGGGGGACGAAGTGGGGGTAGCTGAGGCCCTCAGGTTGCATTTGCCAATTCCCTCTGCTGTGACTTGTCAAGTGAAGGGCAGCAGCCGGGATAGGGTGTGCTTGCTCTGCTGAGCGCTGCATCTTCCTGGACTGTTCTCTCCTTTCTTTCGGCACGTTACGACGTGCTAATCGGAGGATAATTAGCTAAACAGGTGGATATGGCGGCAAAAAAGCTTGACCCTGCAAGCAATGCTGCTGGCACCGTACACTACGCCGAGGTCGAGCACCGCGTGTGAGATTCTCCGTTCGATCCAATCTCGAGTGCCCCGCGAGTTCCGTTGGCTTGCAAGAAGGTAAGGGTAATGTTGGTTGACTGCGGGCGAAGCATCGGGAGCGGTCAGCAACCGGCATCCGTTCGATGTCTCGCCGGGTCGTTCGGAGGCCTGAGAAGGAGAGGAGCAGCGCTGTCTTGCATTTTTCCAGAAATGGTTTGTTATGTTTCGAATCAAAGGAGACCAACGCCACTGGCAGAAGGTTTGACAAAGACAAGGGCGACGACGGTCTTTGTCTAGGGCCTGCGACGGGTCGAAAACAGCCATGCGGATCTCTCGACGACAGGCCAGACAGCACAGCGTGTGCAACTGCAGGGCTCGTCCGGTTCATCGCTCGTCGTCTGGACCACCATGAGTTGCTGTGGGTGGTGGGTGCCGCCGCAACAGATGCAGAGTGCAGAGAAGCATGCAAGCGGCATTCCTGTCCTGGTCCAAGATCGACGCAGGAAATTAAACCCCCAAGCCTATCGTCATTCTTGATAGGGCGAGGGGCACGGGTGGGAGGCAGCAGGTGCAGTAGCAGCAGCATTGCGTCTTGCGTGTGTGATGGTGCGTTGTCAACCACGAGACAGGACGAGACGAGTGCGCATTGCGCATTCGAATGTCAGTCGTCTGCCGCCGCCGGCTTGTCACAGTTGAGGTCCAGGTCCACCGACGATGCTCCCATCCCGTCCACCTTGTTCGCATGTCGGACGGCGTGATGGCAACCGTGACTTGCTTGGAACACGACAAGCAGGAATGTCTCTGGCCCTGGGACTAGAGACTGGGCCGTAGTGTTCGGTTGCACTGTAGCGAGGGCCAGGCTAGCTAGCGGCGGACGAACAAAAGTCGCGGGTAAGCCGCTAGTGGCCATGCGTCGCCGCCAATGCTCATCATGCTTTCCACTGTGCGAGGCGCTCAAGGGGTCATGGCACCCGTTTTGCCAGGTTTCTTGGTTTCGTCTCCACGCTACGTGCCTCGTACCTCGCCGATGGCGTTTGGCGCGGCCCCGGTGGTCGGCCTCACGATGTTGATCTGGGACGGCGAGTCACCGAGCGTCGGAGGCAGATGCAGACGCAGATGCAGTCGCAGTGCGAAGCACGCACAGTGATTACAGGTGCGTGCAAGGACCAATGGCGGGTGCTGCTCAAAGGGGGAAGCCGACGACGGCGAGTGGAAGCACTGTACTTTTGGGGCGAGTTGATCTTCCGCCGGAGAGCAAGCTTGCTGCTGCACTGTACGGTACGAGTGAGTGTACGAGACGAGCGAGTGCATTGCACATTGAGTGGTGTGGAGCTGCATTGCTGATCGTCGTCCTGCGGCTGGGGGAGCAATTGGGAACCGACAGTTCACCGCAAAAGACTCGGGCACGGCGGACAGGCGATGGCTGTCGATGGAGTGCCCTCGTGTCTCTTTTTTCCTTTTCTGATAAGCAA